AAAATACTAATATAATATAAATATATCTAAATATTATTAGTAATAATACCCCTGCTGCATACCTGGCAGCTTTTTGCATCTCTTGTCAAGGCACTGACGACGACCACAGACATTTTGGGAAGCCTCACTGCATTCCCCCAAAGCCAGGGGTAAAACCCCACATCTCAGCCCAAATTCCAGCCCAGGAGATGACACCCACAGCCCCCAGGCTGGAAACCAGTGGCAGTCACAGGTGACACCAGGGCCACCCAGCAGGGACCGCAGGGCAGAAACCGACCCCCGTGCACTTGCCCACATCCTGACGGAGGAATCCCAACCCAAAGGACCTGGGGATAAACCTGCTTTGAAAAGGAGTTTATTTGGATTTTCCACATCCTTCAATGAATCGCAAATATATTAACAGAAAAAGACTTTGTGTGTTTTGTTTGGTTTTCTTTTCCTAAGACTGTACAATGCTTGAAATAAAAAGTCAAGAAAGGCCAAAAAAAATAAAAAGAAAAAAGACAAATGACATTGTTTCAATGCAAACAGCACACACCACACCCACACTGTGCATTTTCCCATAGTTTTGCTGTAAGAAAACGACAGCTCCCCAATTCTCCCTCGTGAGCTTGCTCTAACCTGGCTGCCAGAGTTGCCCTCGCCCTCCTCCCTGCCCCTCTTCCAAGGGAGCAAAACTTCCTCGATTCAGCGCTAATTCTGTGTAGCTGTGCAGGATGTAAACCAGCAGCATGGTCTGAATGTGGCATTCTTGGAAAGGAAAACCAGTTTAAGGTACGATGTGCTTATAAAGCAAGGGGCAGTTTGAAGTAGTAAACCTTCCCAACCAAACGAAGAGCCCTTTCCAAGGTGTTGAAAATTCGACCGTCGCTCACAATTTGTAGAGAACAAAAGGGAAAAAGCCTCCTCATTTCCAGAATCTCTGGTCCCCATTTAAACAACAGCACTTCTCATTGAAGTCTTGCAAGCAGCACCTGCTTACTCCTGCTTTTTTGGCTTACAAGAGGTTGGGAACCAAGAGGAAGCCAATTAACACGGTAATTAGCAGTGTCCACACCAGCGCTACCTGCAGACCTCGTGTGAGGGATGCACCAGGAAGGGGCTGGATGGGAAACCACAGCGGGACTGACACGGGGACCCCAGAATCACCACAGCCGCAGATCACACTCCCAAAATCCAAGCCCCATCCACATCTTCCTCGGGGAGGACCCATCAGGAAAGGGAACGGCCCCAAAAAGCGGTGCAGGATCAGGTACGCTCAGATCAGCCCAAACCCATGATGATTTTCCAGTCAGTCCATCAAGCAGACACGAGCTGATCAGAAGTACATAGCAGAGGCACAAAGCTCCTTTAATACGTTATCATTCCTCAGATTTTAGACATTCCTTTTCACGCTATTTAAGCCTTTTTGCCACTGCTTATCCTCCTACTCCAAAAAAAAACCCCAAACCCAGTGAATCGTGGTTCTGCTCAGCACCTGAGGGTTAATTTTCCAGTGATAAAGGTGCCCGTGTGGCTCACGACCAGAGAGGAGCTGTGACAGGAGATGTGCCCGGTGCAAGACGAGGAAAGAATTAAAAAAAACCTGAAATCCTAAAGGACTAAAGTCCTAAAGACCCCTAAAACCCAACACATTTTAAAAAAAATATAATAATTAAGACCGATCACAAAGCTGTTGCTATGAAATTTATATCATTCCCAATTTATTATGCATAAATCGCTCTTTAAAACTGCTTATATCATACACTTTCTTTATCATCACTGCATAAAGGGCACCAATTGCTGCTGCAGAACGCTACAGAGAAAGATGGGGTTGGACTCGTTAACGTGGCGCAGCTTTCTTGTCACAGAAGCAGCCTCTGTAGAAGAGAAAAGTGTTCCTAGAGTGAGAATCGTGAAGAACAGCTTAAAAAAAAAAAGAGAAGAACAGGAGATAAAAGAGAGACAGATAATTGCACATTTTTGCATCCTGCTTGGACCACGCTTTACAAAACAGTTGTTAAAAGAAGAGTAAACTCAGACCATTATTTGATGCGCTTGACTGTAAGGTTCAGCTTGGATTAAGGCTTCCACGGTCTTCCCAGTCTATCTGCTCAGTCGCTCTGCATTAGGGGTTGGGTATTTCCACACGACAGTTGTATCTGCGTTTCTCTCTTGATTTTGCCCCTTATTAATTTTTATTCTTAAAAAGGGGGAGAACAAATCAAGGGGCAGACGAAACACGGAGCGAGGTGGCGCCGACTGGTTTCTCTGAAGTACAAAGTAAACACCGACCTTTCCGAAACCAGCTGAATAAATTAATTTGTGGTTAGAACATGACAGCGTTTCACGAAAGCTTGGATTCTGCAATGGGATTCTCCCGCTAAGTTTCCACTCCTGCAAGCTCGCGCTCTAAGTAGGGACACGGGCTATTTTACGCGGTCTGCCACCCTCCCAGTCCTGAGCATCTGCGTTTTGGTGTTTGTTCACTGGAGACACTGCAGCTTGAAGGTCACGGACATTCCCTGGTGTTTAAGTTACACTACAATATGCCAAAGTCTCGAAGGGCCTGCGTTTGCCAACACTGTCCTCGAAGGAAATGAGGTTCAGCACTCTGCTTACCAAGAAAGAACCAAACTAAGACACATTTCTGGAAAAGGAACAAGACACTGCTTCATTAGTACTATCCCCACATCTACCGGCTTCGTTACAGAAAACCACAAGTCTTTCTTCCATGATATTTTTTCCAGCAAAGGGGAGTCCAAAACCAGCATTTGTCCTCCTCAGTCACTCTCATAAACGTGTAAGAGCCAACAAGTCAGACTCGGTAGCAGCTGAATATTGCACTGCCATTAACTCTGCGTACAGTTTAAATCTGAGCGGTGCACTCGTGGTGTCAGTGGAGAATAATGACAATGCTGGCTCAGTGATGTGAAGACCCAGGATGCGAAGGAAGGGGGGGAACACAACAGTACCAGTCACACACTCGAGCTCAGACACTGGCTTTTGGAGGTTAAAATTCATCGCTTTCAACTGCGTGGAGCTGTGTGTCGTCTGCATCCGTCATGCTGCTCTCCTGGGATTCGTCTGTGCCGACTTGAAAGAAAAAAGACACACAGTCAAACACCACTGGGCTGCTTTGCTACCAGGATTCCCCCACAACCATCTCCAGCACAGCGAAAGCACAGCAGCCATGGCTTTGGGCTTCCCCTCAAAGCGCTTTAAAGCCGTATGGTGTTTTCCTTCTCATACGCTGACCCCTGCCAGCTTAGGAAATCTAAATAAACGCATTCAGAAAGGAATTAACACAAAGCACACATTAACAAGACACGCTGCCTTTGCCATCTCCTGTTAAAAACGTGAAATCTCCGACAGGGTTAGGTAGGGATCGGCGTGGAGGGTTCCAAAAGTGCCTTAGGACCAATGTAACCTTCCCACTCCAACACACACCAGTTACCCACAGCATCAGTGCAGTCACCACTCCACTTGCAATCCAATCGTATTCAACCAGTGGTGTTAGGCAGCCTCTACTCACTCCCTGCTTCCCTGACAAAGAACACGGTGTAAGATACGTGCTAAGAGAATGGGTACGGATGTTTCTGCTGCTGAAGAGTTACTCTGATGCTGGTTAGCCCACAGCTTCCAGGAAAACCTCCTTCCTGCTGCTGCTTGAATAAAGATAGCGCACAGGATACACATGCACATAACGAGAGGCTACCCTTAAATATGCAACCTCTGTTTGTTAAAATGAGGCTGAAGGTAAATACCCAATCATGGGTGTTTTTCACACACAGGAATGCAGCTTGAGTCTGCTTTCCATAGCGTGATTTAATGTTAATTGTAAGTTCCCACATAGCCAGGTGGTTTCATGCAGAGAAACACAGGCTCCTGCTATTGCTTTAACGCAAACACTTCACTCCATGCCAGGCAATTCGATGCACAAATTCACACTAGCCAATATATCACAAGCAATCCGCTCCCCACCTCTCAGTAGCACCTGAATTTGCTTTAGCTTGTCTCATGTATCCTAGAAGAGTTACTCAGATGACACCATGAAACAGCCAAGAAAACCAAATTGCTTACACGCAACCTAACAGAGTTTATTTTGTTTATCGAACAGATTAAAGGAAAACAAACAAAAACCTCAGAAACTTATTTTTTTTCTTCCTTTTCATAGTTTTGTGGTTTTTTTGGTTGTTTTTTTTTTCAGGTTTGGGGGTGGTTTGGTTGGGGTTTTTTGGATTGCTTAGACGCCGCTCAGCAGTTCAAGTACTCCGTCTCCATCTCCTGGTCAGAAACATGCTCAGCATGCAGTGAGCCTGTTCTAAGACAAACTGCAAGAGCAGGGAGAGAAAAAAAAAAACAAAACTCTTGATACTTCACAAAGTGCAATGCAGGATGAGTTTCCAGTGTTAAGCAGCACACAGTACACAGGATCAATAAACATCAACGTGATACACAGCAGGAAAATGGGACATTTTTTTAGTTGAAGCTAGAGGATTGCAGAACATCACATACATCTATTAGCAAGAACCCTGCTGTATTTTCTGCTTTAGAGGAAAATTATTAAATGGCTTGTTAGTATTTATTTTCTATCACTATCTCAGCCTGCATCAAGGTCAGCATTTCTCACTATCCTTGCTTTAGAGTTACCCACACTTTGTGAAATTTAAGCTCATAAAGAGTTAGAGAGAGAAGAGAAACCTGGGTCATTCCTTTTTGTGGCTTATTCCTAAGTAGTATAATGGAAGCATTTTATTTTCTCTCGATTCAAATGAAACTGCTTCCACGACTTTCATCAAAGGCCACCTTTTCTGTTTAGCAGACCAAGTATTTTACCCAATATCCAGTTTAACTTTTGACAGGGCCTCTGGACAATTTCAGTTGCCGCCTTGAAGTGATTTGATGCTTCTACAAGGGAAGACTTGCGGCTCTGGGAACACCGTGCTCTCCTAGGATGCTATCAGCCAACCATGATTTGGATGAATTTACATTACCTCTGCCCTACTCCATCTACGTATTCTGAATAAATGCCACAATCCCTTACTTCACACTTACTGTAGGAAACACGAATGAATTCCTCTGAATGAACAGGCTCTGGTGTTCTTACTTGCCAAGCAGCAAAGCGGAGCAGTGCTTCCCTTAAACATGGGATTCTTCCTGCCACCTCAGTGGAAATACGTCCTTAAATGCCAAAGGGTTGGAAATACAAACCTGATTCATAGGGGTAACATTCACTGATTTGCTCCTCTTGAGTTATTGGTTCCTCATCATCTGGAAGGTAGCGTTTATCAATGGCCTCTTTAATCTGGTTATTGGCTCCTTTGGGATCTAAGTCCATTGCCCATGAGAAATTCATTAGAGCCAAATGTGTCTGACCAAGTTTTTTATAAACCTAAAACAAAAGCATAAAAGGCTACATTTACATGAAGTTGCTACTTGAAGGTTTGGACAACAAACATACCAAGCCACAGTTAACTGGTATTTTATGAAATGCAACAGAAGGTAGATATGAAACATTTATTGTACGAGTCCCAAGGGAAACAGCAAATGCGTGCAGAAAGAGTGAGCAAGTGTTTCTATTTAAGACTCCAATTAAAAAGACCCTAGCAGCTGATTTTAGAAGACATAAGGGGGTGGATCTCCAGAAATGAATTTAAGCTCTGGAACCGTGCAGCAGGGTGCTGTAAAAGCTCTTAGTGTACAAGTTCTGGTTTGTCTTGCCCCCTCATCACACACTCAACTTCTTGAGTCACCGTAACCCCGAATCTCCTTGTGGCTCAGGAAAAGTTCCAAGTCTCAGATTTCTAATGTACCACCATGGGTCTTGTCCTTTTTCCTACAACTCTCACATCGAGGACCAGCAAAGGCAGGATAGATGGTCAGGCAGATTTTTATCTGACTCAGCAGGGCCATTCTTACATCCTCAAGCAGCAGGTGGAGAAAACAACAGGACACCAAGTGGCATCCAGCTCATCCTGCTAAACTGAACGGCCACCTTTCCAAGACAACACTGCACTGCAGAATCCAGCACATTTACCTTCTCTGTCACCACAACTTGCACTGAAGCTCTCCTTATCATTAAGGACAGATGAACAAGTAATTTATCTGAGTTAAGCATTTGAAACAGTGAAAATACTTTGTGTTTGTCAAGGCTTGGCAATGCCAATGTCAATTTAGAGGTCCAGCTACTCCTGGACAAATATCAGTCAACAAATTCCACACAAATCCTTCTACCTTTTTCTAATTAAAAATAAATAAATAAAGAATCTTGCTGATTCAGAGTTATCCAGTATTTTGCTATAGAAAAGTTTGTGTTGTTGCTTCCTAGTGAACAGACACCCCACAGAAGGAAGTCGCAGAACTTATTTAAAGCACATCAGCAGAGACAACAGCGAGGAAGGAGGATCCCTATTACCAGACTATTTTTCTCTGGCATTAAGCACAAAGGCAGCTGGGATGTGAACACAGCTGACAAACCAGTGACATCTTTTCCTGTGCTACCCCATTCCTGAGCCTCACCAAAGACTTGTCTTACTCTCAAACTGACAACCTCCTCCAGCTCA